ATGTGCCAGAGATGGCGACAATGGCCACTTGTAAGCCTGAGCTGACGACTGTTCCTCTGGAGCTGCCAGCTGAGGGCGGTACAATGTTCTTCCCCACCTGTGTCAGGCTGGAGCAGTGTGGTGGATGTTGTTATGGTCCTCTCCTCACCTGCCGTCCCAGCATCACTAAGGCTGTCAAGTTTAGGGTGAGTTACTACTTTGTAAATTTATTGTTTTGAACATATACTTGGCTCACTGAAACTTGGTATTTAATTTCAATGATTCACAGCCGAGTAATACTTATGTTAGAGCCACAGTTATTCAGTAGGTTTTAATCAGCATAAAGTTTTACGGTGGATGTCTTTGTCTGGTTCTGATATCACCTTCACCTCGCTAATGATCAAGATTTTCTCCAGATTCGAAGATTTCTGTTGCTCAGAAACAAGTCAACAGTATAAGTTCAGAAATTTTTCTGTGACAAAATTTGTGCGCAATCAGGTTAAACTGCTTCATAGTTTACAAACCAAAAAGTTACTCTTTTTTCTTTTTGGTGAGGTAGCAGGTTATCTCCCTGAGGAGCCTCTCTTGTACGAGCGACTGGCTACTCTGATACAATGTGGACTCTCTCACCTTAATGGAAAATTATTATCACCACGTGTTCAGCGATTAGTGTAAGAACTAGTTTATATAGTTCTTCTTATCCATGGTCACAATGACTTGTCACTTGCTGGATATTGTGACAAGGTCTCTAGTTGTTCTCAGGACAGAAATAAGTGTTCAGCTGACGGCCATGGCCATCAACTGAGCAGTCATGTCCAACATGTACATGAAGCACTTGCAGAACGAGAGGTTAAAAAAAATCACATCACCAGGAGGTAACTTGGCTATGTCGATGGCATCATTACTAATATTTTAAGACGTCTTAAGGTATGCTGCAAACCCACTAATATGATGTACTGCGCTACCTGCCTCATCCACCACAACAAAACAAAACAAAGTTATCATTGATTTCTTGGCAACAGTACACACGTGATGTGTTCATCACCTTCAGTCCAAGAAGAATAATACGACCATATTAATAAAAACCTTTATAAAACTTTAGTGTTCACAACACTGCATCACTGACTGCAGGAGAAGCGCAGACAAGATGTTTCATAATGCCAGACAAGATTCCAACACGAGAAGATACATAGTTGTACTTGTCAACGTCACAAACAATAACGTTTCCAAATCCATCACAATAAAGTGCTTACTCAAAAAGAAAACAACATCCAATGACGCCAATGTTGGCATCTGCATGATACTCTGTAACAAGTGTTGTTGGTGGCACTTGCAGGGACCTGAACACCAAGATTATCCTACACACAAGTGTTGTTGGTGGCACTTGCAGGGACCTGAACACCAAGATTATCCTACACACAAGTGTTGTTGGTGGCACTTGCAGGGACCTGAACACCAAGATTATCCTACACACAAGTGTTGTTGGTTGCACTTGCAGGGACCTGAACACCAAGATTATCCTACACACAAGTGTTGTTGATGGCACTTACAGGGACCTGAACGCCAAGATTATCCTACACACAAGTGTTGTTGATGGCACTTACAGGGACCTGAACACCAAGATTATCCTACACACAAGTGTTGTTGATGGCACTTACAGGGACCTGAACGCCAAGATTATCCTACACACAAGTGTTGTTGATGGCACTTACAGGGACCTGAACGCCAAGATTATCCTACACACAAGTGTTGTTGATGGCACTTACAGGGACCTGAACCCCAAGATTATCCTACACACAAGTGTTGTTGATGGCACTTACAGGGACCTGAACGCCAAGATTATCCTACACACAAGTGTTGTTGATGGCACTTGCAGGGACCTGAACGCCAAGATTATCCTACACACAAGTGTTGTTGATGGCACTTACAGGGACCTGAACACCAAGATTATCCTACACACAAGTGTTGTTGATGGCACTTGCAGGGACCTGAACGCCAAGATTATCCTACACACAAGTGTTGTTGGTTGCACTTGCAGGGACCTGAACACCAAGATTATCCTACACACAAGTGTTGTTGATGGCACTTACAGGGACCTGAACGCCAAGATTATCCTACACACAAGTGGTAAGATACAACCATCTGATATACTACTTTCACATCGACAAACTCGTTATTAAGGAAGGAGGCGACGGAACCGAATTTCACAATCTAATCCGATCGCCACCACTAGCACCATATCACAATATCACAGATATTAGATACATTCCTAATTTCTGAGAGAGAGAGAGAGAGAGAGAGAGAGAGAGAGAGACCACATTCGTACAGCATTACGATGCCAACGAGATAAAGTCAGTTGATCAAACGAAAAGTGTTGGCCCACAGATGGCTCGAACTTAATCCGGTTCCCAGTTTGTATGTTTCATAACAATAAAAATGCTTTCAAATAAGCTGTGTAGGTAACGCTCTTAGCTTTCAGTAAAGTTAGGAATCCTTAATTTGAAAAATAGCTTTTTAAATAAAGCTAGGGATCCTTAACCTAACTTTCAAACCCCGTTTTAAGAGGGAGAGGGGAGAGGGGGAGAGAGGGGAGAAGGAGAAGGAGAGAGAGGAGAGGAAGGGGGGAGAGAGAGAGAGAGAAGGGAGGGGAGAGAGGGGAGAGAGAGAGAGACAGACGAGGGGACGACAACAGGAGAGAGAGAAGAGAGAGAAAAGAGGGGGGAGAGAGAGGAGAGAGAGAGAAAAGGAGAGAGAAAAAGGAGAGAGAGAGAGGAAGAGAGGAGAGAGAGAGAAAGAGATAGAGAGAGAGAGAGAAAGAATTAGAGGAGAGAGGAAAGAGAGGGGGAGGGTGAGCCCAGCACATTGATGGGGCACCCTTTATCATCTTGAGATGATTTTCTTCAAGCTATGATAAACATTTTTCCCTCGTACAGCATCGCATTGTCAGACCTCAGTGGCCCCTTCTGCCCAAACCCCAAAAACTTCAAATTAATTGTTGGGACCTCAACAAACATCTTTACAGAGGACTTTGACAACCTTCTTGCGGGGTTTGCATGAGAAAAAACTTTTTTGATTTCCCTACTCACACTCTGGGTCCCCCCTTGACCCCCGTAGTGATGATTTGGGAAAGGTATAGCCACTTTTTAACCCCCCCCAGCTACGTTGGTCATTGACCACAATGCTATGGGAAAAAAGGGGAATTAGCCAGCACTTTGCTTAGCTCGCCACCCCCATAGGAATGCTCTTTTCCAAGGGGATGTTGGGCAAACCCAATGAAAACTTCATGGACAACCTTAATCTACAACAAGAACACATCCCCCCCCTTGGTCGGCTTTCGTTGAGAGATTCTGCTTCTGCTAAGGTTGGCGAAGGGGTTTGAGGCATCCATACCCATAAAAGGAACTTGCACAGAAACCTGTAGGCATACGGTAAGTTTTCAAAGTGAGCCCTCCTAACTGGGAGGTGGACCAAAAAAAAAGTGCTCAGGTAGGGTGGCTCCAAAGCCTGGTGGGCCCCCGGTAAGGACAGACAAGGTTTCTACCCGATGAAATTATTCCGTCTCTAAATCATCAGGATGGGGCCACCCTTACTGTATCAAGGAAGGGGGCCATTTTGCCAAAACACTTGGCTCCAAAATGAAAAGTTCCTGATCCAGAAGGGACCTCCTTGGATAGCTACAAGAACTGTTAAAACTGTGGGGGTGGCAATAAGCCAGGGGGAGGGCATCTTTTTAATCGATTGCCCAAGAAAAGGTGGGGGGATGGGGACAAGTTAAACCCCAAATTGTGTAAAATGGTTTGAAAAACCGACAATTTAAAGTTTTGGACACTTTGCAGCAATGGGAATCTTTTTTCAGGAAACGTTTCGCCACCAGTGGCTTCATCAGTCCAATACAAAGGGAAGGCGAAAGGAGAGGGGAGTATGAGGTAATCACCCCTCGCCGGGAGTCGATGATTTTCAGTCCTCAATCTTGTAGAATGAACAGCATGGGGCCCCGTGAGGGGGCTTATATACGAGAGGTAAGTGAAGCAGGCGGAGGGGGGGGTCATAGTGGTACCATCCACTAGTCAAGTAGGGCTTTGCCAAAGTTAACAAAATGTTGAAGAATTCTTTGTAACAAAATCCCATGATGCGCAGGTCTGCAGTTGTGATGAATGGTTTGAAAAACCGACAAGTTGAAGATTGAGACACTTATGCAGCATATGGGAATCTTTATTCAGGAAACGTTTCACCACACAGTGGCTTCATCAGTCCAATACAAAGAGGAAGGCGTAAGGAGAGGAGGAGTATGAGGTAATCAGACCCTCAGCCTGGAGTCGATGTGTTCAGTCCATCAATCTTGTAGAATGTACAGCATAGGGCCGTAGATGTGGCTTATATACTGTAGTGAGGTGAGGTGAAGCAGGCGGAGGCGGGGTCATAGTGGTACCATCCACTAGTCGAAGTAGGTCTTTGTCCAAAGGTTGAACAAGTGTTGAAGAATTCTTTGTAACAAGATCCATGATGCTGCAGTGTCTGACAGTTGTGATGAATGGTTTGAAAAACCGACAAGTTGAAGATTGAGATTCCCATATGCTGCATAAGTGTCTCAATCTTCAACTTGTCGGTTTTTCAAACCATTCATCACAACTGTCAGACACTGCAGCATCATGGGATCTTGTTACAAAGAATTCTTCAACACTTGTTCAACCTTTGGACAAAGACCTACTTCGACTAGTGGATGGTACCACTATGACCCCGCCTCCGCCTGCTTCACTTCACCTCACTACAGTATATAAGCCACATCTACGGCCCTATGCTGTACATTCTACAAGATTGATGGACTGAACACATCGACTCCAGGCTGAGGGACTGATTACCTCATACTCCTCCTCTCCTTACGCCTTCCTCTTTGTATTGGACTGATGAAGCCACTGTGTGGCGAAACGTTTCCTGAATAAAGATTCCCATATGCTGCATAAGTGTCTCAATCTTGAACCCAAGATTGCTGAGAAGATGTGCAGACCAGCTAGCAGCACCTTTAATTCACATCTTACAGCACTGCCTAGTACAGTGTAAATGGCCTTCTCTGTGGAAAAGGCAAATGTAGTCTCTACTCACAAAAAGAAGAGCAGAGCAGAAATCAGCAACTACAGACCAGTGTCACTCTTGTCAATCACTGGCAAGATCCACGAGACAATAATCACAAGACAAATGACAGAATTTTTTGACTACCACTCACCATTTTGTGATCGTCAATATGACTTCAGGAAAGGTTACCCTGGTGCTGATCTGTTATTAAACCTCTCCACTAAATGGCACCAATCACTGGATGAATGCAAAGTCAGCTGTGTGGTAGCACTGAACATTGCTGGTGCTGTCGGCCGAGTGTGGCACAAGGTCCTCTTGGCAAAACTGCAAACACTGGGAATTGCAGGCTCTACAGTATGTCTCCTTAGTGATTACCTTCACAATAAATCTTTAAGGGTAGTAGTCAATGAAATGGAATCAGCAAGACACCCTAATTGGGCAAGTGTTCCACCAGGAAGAGTGCTGGAACCATTGTTGTGGAATGTCTACTTCAATGACCTTCTTCATCTCATCCCAGAATCCCATGCATATGTATACGACTGTACTCTGACATTTACTTATCCAAGAGAAGAAATGCCAGCTGCTCTAAGCTACATCAATCACCAGCTAAGAGCTATATCAGCTTGGGGAAACCGATGGCAGGTAACATTTGCACCTGAGAAAACACAAATGATGATGGTCTCTACGCACCCGAGCAGTAGTAAGTATGAATGGGAGAGTGTTGGTACCCGAGAAAGAAGTTGATATCCTTGGAGTGAAATTTGACTCCAGACTGACCATGAAGAACCATTTTGTAAATCTTGCAAACA